CCCCTTTTCTCTCTCTACCCCTTCTACTGTAAATCATTTCTTCGATTTGTATTATCTTGTCTTACCCCTCCTTTCCTCTTATATGTCCTTATGTATAACCCTGAGGATCGCCTTCCATTTCCATGTGATTTCCAGTTTCTAATAAAAGATTATGGAACATAAAGAAACATGAAAATTGACCTGCATATGAAAAATAAAACAAAAAACAAAACTCAAGGACACTGTGAGAGCAACTGGATGTTAGATTTAACAGAAAAAGATTTTGAAGTAGCTATTATTAAAGTGTTCAGAACTCAAGGAAAGCATGATTTAAAAGTGAGGAATATATGAGGACCACATTGTATCACATAGAGGCTGCCAATAAGGAGAAATTATTTTTAAAAAAATAATGGAAATTATGGCATTGAAAAGCACAATAACTGAAATAAGAAACTGACCAGAGGAGGTCAACAATAGATTTGAACAGGCAGGAAAAAGAATTAGCTAACTCAAAGCTAGATCAATAGATATTATGCAAACCACAAAAACAGAAAAAGAATGAAAAATAATAATAAACAGAGCCTCAACAAAAGTGGGATACCTATAGTGATCTATGTGTAATGAGATTACCACAGGAGAGGAGAGAGAAAGGAGAAAGAAAAATATTCAAATAAATAATGACTGAAATCTTCCAAAATTTAATGAGAAGCAATAACCTACAATGTTCAGAAAGCTCAACAAACTCCAAGTTGGATTAATGAAAAAGATCTACAAACATCAGTGTAAAAATGTCTCTTGATATTAAGGGGTTTGCAAGAATGCTTAATAGGAGCAACTTACTTTTTTTTTTTTTTGATACTTGCACAGCTTAAGGGCAGATTCAGAGACTATTTTACTAAGAGCTTTGAAATGAAGGTGAATTGGAAAAATCAGGATGCCAATTGAGAGCATCTTTGAGTGGATGGTAAAATTCATAAGACCTGTTAGGCTCATGAAAAATCTGGTAGGAAAAAGTCACATATCTCCAGTCACAATAAGGTCAAAGAATGTGTTCTTTAGAGTAAAATCTACCCTTATGGGAATGCAAAGCCTGACTCTTCTCTTTTTGAGTCATCTGCCTTTTTTTTTTCTCTTTGATGTCATTTTGTACTATCCACTTGTCATCTACTTGTTCTGCTCCTCTGTTTGACAGACATAGCCAGGTATGGATTGATCTTTGTCAGGACTTTGCACTTGCTGTTCTCTCATAGAAAGCTCTTCCCCCGAAAAATCTGAGTAACTTGCTACCTCTTTTCCTTTAGGTCTTTGCAGTAAACTTTTCCTTGCCACATCCTATCGAAAATTGAATGGGGGGTGGGGGGAGAAAACAAATCTATTCTCTGTCTTCATTGCTTTATTTTTCCTGTAGCACTTATCACTATCATGTTCCATATTGAACTCATTAAATTTATTTGTTTTTGTGTCTCTTTCTTGTGTAGAGGTATTCATACTTAATAAAAACTGTGCTCACTGCTATATTTCCTGCACTAAGCTAAATATTATTATTATTTAGCAATAAGCTAAATATTATTAAGTAGAGACAATAATATTTGGGGGAAGAAGAGAGAAAAGGTGGGCTATATGAAAAGTTGTCCTCAGACTGGGACACCTTAAAAATAGAACAGTTCAAAATTTGGAAGTTCTTTAGTAAATCTAAAATAAAGATCATTATAAATGTAAACTTTCACATACAAAACAGGTAATTCTTTCAAATACAGAACAGATTTTAGGAAAGTTACCTATGTTGACATTGTAGTCAACAGGGATTCTGCAGCAGATTTGGAGAGAAGAGTGTTAATACTATATTCAGGGGTCAGAATTTCTGCAGAATTGGAAAGAGACTTCTTAAGGACAATAGATAATAGGAGAAGACATTTATTTTATTATTTGTTGGTTGTTCAAAACATTACAAAGCTCTTGACATATCATATTTCATACATTTGATTCAAGTGGGTTGTGTACTCCCATTTTTACCCCAAATACAGATTGCAGAATCACATCGGTTACACATCCACGTTTTTACATAATGCCATATTAGTGTCTGTTGTATTCTGCTACCTTTCCTATCCTCTGATGACATGTAATTCAGTAATAGGAGTGCCTTGAACAGATTTAGATACTAGCTCAACCCTGCTTCTGAGTGATCTTTGCATCTCTATCTGTTAGAGAAATTATAAAATTTGCACTTCACCTGTCCATTTTTCCACTAGACTATAAAACATTCTTTCATATATTTCTTCCCAGCACTTGTCAAAGTGCCTGGTGCATAGTATTCTCATTAAATATGTGTTGAGTGAAATACTTACTGAATGAGAACATATTAAGAGATAACTATGGAATCATGATGCAGGAGCCAAGAGCATTCTGACCTCTAGGCCTGTCAGTGGACCAGAGGGTGAGAAATAGAGAAAGCCAGGTTTCATATACACGAAGAACAGGTCAGATATTGTCACTGTTAACATTTAAGATAAAGAGGAATTTGCCCTTTAAAAAATTTTTTTTGAAGAGCTGTTAGAAGGATCACAAATAGGAGATTTGAAAGTATCTTCAGTTTTCAATGAAAATATAATAGACTTGGATATTGTCAAAGGAAAGCTAACATCCAGTCATTTGGCTGCTAAATGAGAATGTAGAAATTGTTGGAGACTGAAATGTAAGGAGGAAAGAAATGTGTGTAGTAGATTAATTTTATTTTGTGAAGAATATTGTAAAACAAATTAGCTTAGAACTGCAGTTGAGGTTATTTGTGTAATCATAGGACTTTCGAAAGTACTTTGCAGTTTGTCTTTGTTCTTTTCGGTAACACAAGAAGGGAAAACTGATAATAGTCTAGATATGTACCTTTTCCTCTCAGTGAACTTTATGGAAGATGATGACAGCTGTGAGTGAAAAGGGTTGAGCTAATGAGCAGGTCTCTGGAGGTTTGCGTCTCTTGTGTATGCTTGATACTCTAAAAATAGGGCTTGGTAAGTAAAGCCATATTCTTCATTAGAATTAATAGATTCTTAAATATTATTATCTTAGTTTCAAGTGATAGATAATAGTAGGTACTTCTACATATTATAAATAGGGCTTGGTAAGTAAAGGCATATTCTTCATTAGAATTAATAGATTCTTAAATATTATTATCTTAGTTTCAAGTGATAGATAATAGTAGGTACTTCTACATATTATATTACATTTATAGCTGAGTCTAATGCAGAAATTAAAATACTTATGTGATCCTTAATAAACATTTAATCACGAAATATATTTATATAATTATGTATTTATTTGTTTATTTATTAGTATCAAGGATTGAACCCAGAGGTACTTAAGCACTAAGCCACATCCCCAGCCCTTTTTACTTAATTTTTTATTCTGAAACAGGGTCTCTCTAAGTTGCTTAGAGCCTCACTAAATTGCTGATGCTGTCTTTGATTTTGGGATCCTCTAGCCTCAGCCTCCTCAGACACTGGCATGGGCCACCATACCTGGCTATTTATATATATTAAAAATATATATTTTCTTTCTTTTTGCTAATATAGCTACTCTTATAATAGATATATTTAAAAGGTATTTATTGCCTGATAACACTAGCATTTAGTATTGCAAATTTAAACTAATTTTTTAAAAATTTCATTTTCCACAGTCCAGAAAAGGCTTTGAAAGACTCACTACAACCCTATGAGGCTGCTTATCTCTCAAAATCCTTATCTCGACTCTTTGATCCTATCAACTTGGTTTTTCCTCCGAGTGGGCGTAATCCACCTTCCTCTGATGAACTTGATGGTATCATTAAAACTATAGCAAGGTATGTATTTTTTGTATAATATCCTGCCTTTAGATGCCTGCCACATTTGTTATTGATGTAACATGGCAGTGCATTTTGAATTTACCTCAAATTGTTCAAGTAATTAGGTCTATAATTAAGAAGTCCTGCAGTGAATGAGTGTACACATAGTAAGTAGAGATTCCAATTAATGAAATTTATTCTAAAAATAATCTATTATAATCTGTATCTTGACAAAGTTGGAAAGTAGACCTAGCTTTTCCTATCATAGTAAATTCCTAATATCTCATAGCAAAGTAAGAATAAAAATAATTTTACAAATTGAGAAACTAAAACATAACAGTTAGTGTTTTTTATCCTAAACCCAGAAATGCTTCATCGCAAAAACAGGGTTCTAATCCTCATTAGCCTACTTGTGTTTGCTATTTTAAGCTTTCTAAGTGAATGTGACAGCTTTTACAACTCTAAAAAGGGAAGGTATCCTAAGTGAGTTGCCACCTGAATGCTGGCAGTCAGTGTAATTATCCCTTAGCCTTTAGATGTGTTCATTTTAAAGTGATCCAGATTAGTTTGCAGTTGAAACTATCAGTTCCTGTCACTGCTGCCAGGTTGTTTTGAGAATAAGCCTGTACATTTGAAATGGACATTTTAAAAAGGAAAACTAGTGGCTGGTTATTATTGGACCCAAGTGTAGAACTGTCTCAGTTATTTTAGACTATAAATTTGAAGATGGTGATTCTGAGGAACGGAAGAGTAAAACTAAAAAGCCACAGGTATTATACACATATCATCAGCTGCAAACACACTTATAAAATGAGTCTAGATTGCCCAGCATCTTGGTCCTAAACCTCTTTGCTGTTATCTTAACTTGCTGGAGATTTGACTCTGTATTTTTTTTATCCTAAGGTCTGTTACCTGTTTAGCGTGCAGGTGATAAAAATACAGTCCTGGATTCAACTTGAGCTCATAAACCTATTTATGTAAACATTAAAGCAGCATCTCTCTTATGCCAGTTACATCTTGACAGTGGTGGTATAATAAAAAAATAATCAGGACCTTGAAGAAGCATACTGATGCCAGTGTTTAATACAATTTTAAAGTGAACATTAATAAAATTATGTCTCAGTACTATATGAGAGAGCACTTTTTGTCACACATAATATGCACTAATATTGTTCCAAACTCCTTCTGTTTCTTTAAGAAGATAATCTGGGAAGTATCAACATTCGGTCTACTTCAGAGATAATTGCTTTTCTAGCTTGCTTGTATATGGGTTTTCATGCAGTTTTTAACTTTTAGTATTCTTTTCATGGTCTTTGTAAAAATTTCACTATTTTTGGTTAGTCATGTTAGATGTCAAATTAATTAATTGTTAAAGATGAAAATAAGCACAACAAGGAAATACTTAAAAGAATCCAAGTTTATAAAATTTCTAATTATAGCCATTATGTTTTTGATATGTTTTAAAAGGTGGTCTTTACAAAACAGCATCTATTGACATAATTTCTACAAAAACTGAATATCTTTATGTATCATGTGTAATTTATATTTTTAGACTATGTCCTTCCAAGGTCATCATTTCCATTCAAAAGCTGTCATTTCCTTGCAGATGTCTGTGATATGCAGTGCCTCTAATTGCACTGATCAGTATTTGCAAGAGTGCTGCTTTTAAAATCTGTACACAATTCACTCTGTTAATCACAGACTGAACCCACACATGATGTGCTTTTATTAATGGGAAACTGGTCATTAACAAAGCTATATCTCAAAGCACTTTTTCCTAATGCTGAATTTAGGCGAGGTGGAGGATAAAACAATGTACCACTTCTTGGAAACAATCAGCAAAATGTATAAAAAGAAACACTGCATTGCGTATTGGGCTTATCAGGCTTATATGTTGTGCTTTACTTTGTTGATGAACAATTTTGCTAATATTAAAAATTGTTTTTGTTTTCTGCAGTGAACTAAATGTTGCTGCTGTTGATGCAAACCTCACATTAGCTGTGGCAAAAAATGTGGCAAAGACCATTCAGTTATATGGTGTAAAATCAGAGCAGCTTGTAAGTAGTTCCCTTTTCTGTAAGCTTTAATGATTTTGTTTAAAAGTACTAATTACGTAATACTTGACTAAACATAACTAACATCGTAAAAAATGAAGTAATCTATTTTTACCAATATATGAGTTGTTTAATTTGGTTCTGTAATAATTTTTAGGATAGCTTGTTGACAAGTTGACTGAAATAATTTGCATAAAATGATACTTGGTGGTAACTGTACTTAGAGCCTTCCTACTTGTAGTTCCAACGGAATGCCAAATTTTGTTTGCTATAACACAGTACTGTTTTCTATTAAATTCTTCTTGTTGTCTTGACAAATAATTTAGAGGCATTTTTTTTAAACTTTGTTTATTAAAAACCAGTTATACAGAGAAATGGAAGTTCTTTGTAAGCAATTAGATGACTAATTTTTCTCTCAAACTTTGTTTATAGATGCCTTATAATAATATTCATTGCTTTAAAAAACATGTTTTTTTGTTATAAATAAAATTCAGTATTATATCTAGAAAAATTTAATCTGGTTACTGAAAATGTCAGGGAAAAACGCCCTTAGAGATGGTTTCACTAGAGGAAAGAATCAGCATATGTATAGGAAATATCTTGCATTTTGGTGGTGGCAGGGGTGGGATAGAGGTTAGGCTGTAGTAATGGCAATATATTTGGTAGAATTATTGCAAAAGACTTTGAAAACAATCAAAATAATCTGAGAACAGTGGCGCATGCCTATAATCCCAACAATTCAGGAGGCTGAGGCAAAGGATTACAAAATTAAAGCCAGCCTCAGGAATTTAGAACTTGCCTTACAATAAAATTAAAAAGGAACGTGTTGTATCTCAGTGGTAGAATATTCCTGAGTTCAGTCCTCAGTACCAAGAAGAAAAGAAGAAAAAAAAAATCAAAACACATCAACTAACACACTTGAATTGATATTTTTGCTTAAATAGTCTGTGGCTCTAGGTTGCTTAGGCATATTTAACCTACAGTGATGAAGGTTGATGAAAAATCATTAAGTTTTTCATTTTTTTTAATAGAATTCTTACCCCCCCTAATTTTACTTTTCAACTTTCATTTTATTATATAAGGAAAGTCTTTATTGAATAAGATTACAAAAACAAACAAACATGTGCTTTATTTATTTATTTAGGTACTGGGGATTGAACCCAGGGATGGCTTGTCTCTGACCTACATCCTTAGCCCTTTTTTTAAAAAATTATTTTTTATTTTGAGAGAGGGTCTTGCTGCTAAGTTGCTATGCCTTCACTAAGTTGCTGAGGCTGGCCTCAAACTTGAGATCCTCCTGTCTCAGTCTCAAGTGGCTGGGATGGAGCTGGGTGGCTGGGATTGAGCTAAGAATAGGGCTCAGTGGTAGAACACTTGCCTATCATGCATGAGGCCCTGTATTGGGGCCCAGCACTGCAAAAAAGAAAGGATCAAGTGGCTGGAATTATATGTGTGTACCATCATAGCTGGTAAAATTTCAATAACATTTTGTGTTATTTAATTCTTGGCTGTTAATAATACCATCCCTGCTACTCCTCTATGTTTTTAAATTTGACGTGTTTTGTTCTTTGTCTTTCCATATTCTTACTCTTAAATTTTTTTTTTTGGTGGTACTGGGAATTGAATCCAGGGTGCAGAGCCTCCCCCATGCTAGGCAAGCATTCTTCCACTGAGTTATATCCCAGCCTTCATTATTGTTATTCTTTTAGAATAGTTTCACTAAAAACAGTTAGAGGAAATAGTCAAATACTAAGTATTTGGTTGAAGAAAGAAAGAAAACAAATTTTTAAGTAGAATAACAACTTGTATATAAATGGAAATGTTGACTCGAAATTTGAAATGAAAGCTAAATCTTTAAATAGGGGATTCCTTTTACAGTTGAAAAATTAAAGTCTCAAATATACCAGGTTGAAAAATGACAGAAATCAGATTATTAATGGGACGTTTAGATGCTAAGATAAAGGAAATCTAGAAATTTAAAGATAGGTATGCTTTCGAAGAGGGTGACTTGAAAATACAAGCTGAAATTAATTAATTAATTAATTTTTAGAGTTTTAAGGATATCAGTGAGATGGAGAAATACTATATAACATTAAGTGGGGAAAGTATGATACAAAACTGTGTGTGTTTTAGTCAGCTTTGCGTTGTAACACCTGAAATTTAGAATGCTCAGCTATCCAGGCTCCAAAATTTATTTTCCTAAAAATTAGAAGTTTTCTGCTGCCAAATACTTTAAAATACTTAATTATAGCTTTAATATGTATCAGGAGAAAGGCTCATGAGAGGTTTCAAACTGCTTTTAACATTGTGGGTATAGTAGAGTATAACAAATAAATCACCTGTAAAGTACATTTATATTCTTATAATAACAGATCAGAAATTATTTTTATCATTACATGTATATTTTCCCAAAACCTTTTCTGTTATTAATCATCAAAGACCAGTGTCATACAAACATAAATTTCTGTAAGAAGAAATCTTTAAATCCTTTCCTCCCTTCCTTCTTTATCCCTCCTTCCTTCCTTCCCTCCTTCCCTCCTTCCCTCCTTCCTTCCTTCCTTCCTTCCTTCCGTGGTGAATCTGAAGTGGTATCAGAGGCTAGGATAGACTCATCCCCCCCCCCCCCGTACCAGGGATTGAATTTAGGGGCACTTTAACCACTGAGCCACATCCCCAGCCCTATTTTGTATTTTATTTAGACACAAGATCTTACTGAGTTGCTTAGCACCTCACTTTTACTAAAGCTGGCTTTGAACTCAACGATCCTCCTGCCTCAGCCTCTAACCCGCAGAGATAGATTTATTATTAAACACTGTATTCACTATAAGTCAGTCATGGATTGTGCAAATCCATTAACATATATTATCCACATATTTTGTGATTTGCTTATTCACTCTACAAAATAACAGAGATCTGTAACTACTATTTCAATACATGCATAATATATATTAATATATCATAGTTTATTAACTTTTGTGCTCTTAATATATAGTTAGATGATAATTTAGTAGTTTAATTTTGAGATAAGAAGGGTTTAACACTGAATTCTCATGTGTGAATTCTAAGCAATAGGATATACATCCTCTAGTATGTATTTTTTAGAACGTGTCATGAATGTCAGCTTTCTAGGTGAATTTTTGTAAAAATTAAGAGCACTGGTTTTTGGACTCTCTCCATTTAAAAATTCTTATTCATTTGCCTTGACAGCAATTGGGAAGTTATAATCAATGTACTAAGAATTTTGTGTTCAGAACACATTGTTATAGACATATAAACCATAGTATTTTATGATTGAACTGAACAAATTATTTAATAGCAATGTATTGCTTATTTGTTTCTATAGTCTGAAATGTGCCTTACAGAAGAAAATAACACTAGACTTTATAATGGAAAGTTCAAATTTATGTTTTTCCTTGTCCTCAGTGTGTTAAAAAGAAATTAAAATTTCACTATATAAGGGAACTGTTAGTGCACCTTTATAATTTATGGGAATGTAAGCTTTTTTGATAACAAAATTGTAGGTAAATAATAATAAGTATTCCTTTAAAAAGTGAATTATTACATATTTTTCAGCAGTAACTATTACCTTGTGATTTTAAGGAATCTAGAATCAGTGTAAATATCAAATGTTATGAACTATGAGAAAGTAAAATTGATATATAATTAGGTTGCAGACTAAAACAATAATAGGAGTGACTTTTACAGAAGATTTCCATTTCAATACAAGTCAGTAGTTGTAGACACTAGGGTTTTGTTTTAAGGCCTTGTAAATATATACTTATTCTTTGTTTAATTTCATATGTAACTTGGAGACTTGGCATTCCCTTAATGGAAGAAAACTTGCATGTGTGTTATAATTGCTATAGTAATTTCATAATTTTGTTTTGTTTGTTTTTTACTTAATGATTTTAATTCATGTTAATATTATATTTTTTAATTGAGTTTTTATTGTTGTTGTTATTATTGAATCTGTGGTCTTGCTCTGTTGCCTGGGCTGCCCTCCAGCTCCTAGGCTCAAGTGGTCCTCCTGCTTTTGCCTCCCAAGTAGCTGTATAGCTGGGACTACAGGCATACACCACTATGCCCGACTATTAGCCTTTGTCTGAACTACTAGGACTTCATTTAATGATACTATATTGTAAGGGACCGGGGAATGACGGAGGAAGAGACCACCAAGAGACCGACTCATGCAACAGCAAAAGGGGGTTTATTGCAGATCCAGCATGCTGGGGCTCCGTGCTCACTCAAGAAGGGAGAGCAGCCCAGAGCCCTGAGCAGGGGTTGAGTAGTGCTTAAGTACACTTTTTGGGGAGGGCGGGGGCTTTGCATACATCAGAACAAATCATCATGAGGTGCGGGAAAATCAAACAACAACTCTCAAACATGATTAGTACATTCATTGACGGGAACAGGTCGGGCTGGAGTGATAGGTCATTCCTAAGGAGGGGGATACATTCAAATTGATTGGTTTGGGCCCTGAGGTGCCTACGTGCCTAGCTGCACAGGGTCCAAGTTGTTAAACAACTAAGTGGTCAGGGGGGATTATTTAATGGGCAGTCCCGGGAATTGTCCTAACAGCTACAGGAATTTCAGGCTTTGAGTGTAGCATAGACACTTAACAATACCTGGTCCTTTACTTTTTTTTTTTTTTTTTTTTTTAATATTTATTTTTTAGTTCT